ACTGAGGATAAACGGGCCAGGTGCGCAGATATCTACGCCAGGGGACAAAGCAGTATAAGCGCACACAAGATGATGGCAGCAAGCGGGAGACAGCACAGAAAGATGGAGAGGTCTTGAAAGTCCTACAAATACTGGCCGAACCTGCACAAGCCAGCGATCAAAACGCAAGTAATGATTTGTCAGAAGTTGCTGAAAGATTTCTACCTATTAGAAGCATTTGCTGCCTAAAGGCTGACCAGGCTGAGTGCCTCCTATATCAGTCTGTGTCATTCAAACCGGCGTCCTGCGGAAGTTGATCTACCACGACCGATGAAACCCGCCTTCAGAGTCGTCCTTCCTAAATTTCCCTACCGTGAAGTATGCCTGTAATACCGCTGCGGTAGGGGAAGCGCCCAACGAGCCCAATTCAGATTGTGATTTGTAATTGGCGGTGCGGTTATTTAGAATGGGTTGAATTTAGTTGACCCAATTGTGAAAAAACTGGCGACATTCGGTGGGATTTGAACTCGCATAGTGGGGAAGGTCTTAACGCGAAGCCAATGCTCTACCATGCTCTTTCATACAAGCGATAAAGTTGGGTGGGTAAAGTCGATCCAAGTGTGACTAAACTCACGGTGCAGGCGTGGCATTTGTAACTCAAATGATAGAGCATTGGCTTCGCGTTAAGGCCTTTCCTACTATGCGGGTCCAAATCCCGCCGAATGCCAAGACTTTTTTTCACAATTGGGCAAACTAAATTAAGCAAACCTGCCAAACCTCTTAAATAGTTTAAATAGCAAACTAGTTCTCTGTATATTCAACGAAACCTTTACGTAGCAGTTCGGCTTTCAAAAAAAGTGGGGTGTCCTGCTCAGACAGCTGACAGAGTAAGAATGACATTGTCTCTCGAATTGACGCAGCACGACGAGTGTTCTCCAGCCTTCGGAAGTGCTTATGGACCCGACGCGATAGTTCTATCTCAACAAAGATCCGTGTGTAACGAGCATCTGTGCGATTCATTCTCCTATACGGATGCGAATGTTGGGCTGTGTGC